TGTTGCCCTCCGCACTCATCCATCTTCCTCAAATTACGCTCCGCTTCCTCCCGGCGCCGCCCCGCCCCGCCCTCCGGACTCCCGCCCGCCGCCGCTTGCGGCCACCCGACGGTTAGTAATGGAGATTGATGAGACCGGACAGCGCCGCTTTGTGAAAGTTTGCGGCGGCCGCGGGGGCGGGTGCCGCCCCAGTGACGCTCCCACCTCGCCCCGCCGGCCCGCGCGGGGCGCGGGAGCAGGGCACTGGCAGGGCCGCGGGCACGGAAAGGGCAGGAGCATGAGCGTGGGATTCTAGCAGGGGTGCGGGCGCTGGCGCGGGGCCGGGCAGGGACGCGGGAAGGGGCAGGGAGCACGAGCGTGGGAGATGGGCGCAGCAGTTCTGAGGGACTGACACTCCACTCCCTGCCTCCCCCCAGCCCATCGGACCCTATGGTCGCGTCCCGCCGCCCCACCCCCTGGAGCGGACGCAGCGGCCGGCCACTGGCAAGCCCAGGCGCAGGGTGGGACCGAGAGCCTCGCCGCCCCTCGGGGGACCCAGGGCCGAGTAAAGAGAGCAGGGAGCCTGCAGGGGGCGCGGCTGAGGGCGACATCTTGACCCGGGGGGGGGCACGAGGGGTGGGGTCTCTCCTGTCATTCCTTCTTGCACTTCACATCTCCCTGGGTTCCTATTCTCTTGGCTGGGGCGATGCCCCGCCTTCCTTGTTCCCTTCTCTCCAGCCCACTGCCCTTACTCCCTGGTGGCCTCTGGGAGCGATTTTCTCGAGTGCCCTCACTTTGCCGAGTACTCACCGGTTCCCTCACCTTCCTTTGCATCTCTCCCCCTCCTCATTTCCTCCTTCCTGCCTTTCTTGCCCTCCTTTCTATCCCCTTTCCTCCCTTCTGATGAAGTCTTTCGCCTTTCTCATTCCCGAGCCCAGTCAATCTTACTCTTTTTTTTCTTCCACATTTCTCGCTTTTATCCGTATTTCTTGTCTGTCTGTCTGTCTCTCCCTGTCTCCCTCCCTCGCTCGCTCTCTTCTGCTATTACCTCCCCTGATTGGCGCCCGGCTCCCGCACTGCTGATGAGCCCTATTCACTCCCGGGCCTGACACTCTCGACCTACCCTGGCTGATTGCTGGGGGCTGGCCTCGGAGCACTGATGAGCCACAAGGGTCAGCGTCGCTAATTATCCGCTAATTGCGGTTGACTCTGCTCACCTCCCTCATACCCAGAGGCAGAAATGATGGCGCCTTTTACCCTCCTCCTCCTCCTGATTCCCAGCAGCGGAGTTGACAATCAGAGGCAAAAGTCAGGGCACTTTGGCTTGATAGGAGCCTCAGATCCGTGGGCAAGAGAGTAACTTAAGCAGGACAGAGGCACTGTCAATAGAAGAGTGGCAGAGCTTCAGGACCAGAGCAAGCCTGCTAGGGAAAGCCATGGTCAACTCATCCCTCGGAAACGTCTGCTCATGTGGGCCAGGGAGATCTAACTTGGTTACAAAGAAGACTACTATACTAAAGCCAGGCGAGCTTGGGAAGAGTCAGTGGAGACAGGGAAATCATGTGGTTCCAGTGAGGAGGAAAAGCTAAGGCCAAAGAATCCTCAGCTGTCAAAGCTCAGACAGAACAGGTCAGAAGGGAACAAACACTTCAGTTCATATCAGGAGTGAACACCACTGAGGTGAGTATCAGCACCCTGAGAGACACTGTCACCAGAGTGGGACTGAGGAAGGGAATATCCCTCGACTGACAGTTCATGAGGGAGGTGAGTGGAGAAGAGAGTGCCATTTTATGCAATCCTGATGTACCTTGGCTCTACATTAAAATCAGTGAAACATCTGAGAGTGGGGTATCATGGGAAAATATTACCACAGAAAAAGATTAGGTGCTTTAACTTAAGTCTAGGAACCCCAACTCACCACTGAAGCACTAGGATATATTCTATCCAAAGATATTCTTCAGAACAATCCTTTGTCAAATTGCTCAGGCACCTCACTGTACCAGTATGGAAGACAGTGTTCTTACAATTAAGAAGTCAAGTGCTGGATACATAATAGAGGCTTATTGACTTGACACATTACAAAGGTAACTTTGGGCTACAATAGCTGAAACTAAAGCTATATGAACAGTTATGGCGCCAACCAAACAAGGCACGAACAAAGAGCTATTTTTTAAAATTGAATTTCATTTGATTTTTTTTTGGTAGACAATAAAATAATATAAAATCTCTAAAGATCTAAAGCATTTTCCTCCTACCAGTCCCCCCCACACACACACACACAGAGTAAGACCTTTAATAAGTCTGTCATTCTCTGGTAGGACAGATTGGGACATTCATTGACAAGGACTCAAGGTTAAAGACCCTTCTGATTTGGAAGAGGTATGTCATCTAGTTCAATCCAAGAGCTTCTTGCCCAGAATGATGCTTAGTACTGTGGGATTCTCTGCTAAGTCTGGCTAAGAGAGTATAGGCTAAGAGAGTATAAAGCTTTGTGCCAACAGGTTTCAGGGGCCACCAATGAGACCTCCATAACTTTGTATAGAGCAGTATAACTTTGGGTTGTTTGTGTTTGCCAGATACTGTATTTTATAATGTTTACATCCTCAGTCTATTCCTGTGCAGGCTCTTGCCAGCCATGGCCATGTAATGTGACTTCTGCATAGCCCTTGACATTCTGTAGCTAACCTAGGTAACTGCAACCCGTTTCCTTTCCCAGCTCTTTCAAGGAGCTTGGAACTGAGGCAACATGATGCAATTAATATATATTCTACCTAGCCAAAGAGCTGGTGCGAGGAACAAGTGAATCGGAGAAAACGCCTTTTAAAATGAGCTCTCAGTGCCCTAACGGACAAAGAAAAGTAGAGCGGCCAAGAAGGAAAGAAATTCACCGTCCCCAGTCAGCGCGCTCCCGCTCTCCATCAGTACCAAGGACAGAAACTGTCGTAATCCAATCTGAACGAGGCTCTCTTCTTTCTTTACCCGTTGAGTTCAAGTCTACTCGACCCTATAGGACAGAATAGAACTGCCTCACAGTGTTTCCAACGCTGTGATCTTTTCGAACTGCTAGCTGAACGCTTTAACCACTGCGCCGCCAGGGCTCCTTTGATTCTTTCTTTACCAGGAGACAAATCTCTGGTTCTCTCTTTGAAGGTTGAGGAGGCCCGCAGAGGGCAAGCGCCTCACCCCATTGTCTAAAGTGCGCCTCTAGTTATCCCTGCTCTCAGACTGGCCCTAGCTGCCCCACCGGCTAGGGGAAAAACCGACAGAGGTATCGTACAATCTACGCTCTCGGCTTGTGCCTATGTCCCAAGACTCCATTATCTGGCCTCCCCGTCAGAGTAGAAGCTAGTGCCTAGGATACCAAGGAAGAACGAAGTATCCTCAAGTCAAAAGTCAAAGGCACTGGAGCACTACCTCTGACTCCACTATTGGCAGGGGAGGCTACTCGCGGCGGGCAGCTTCTGGACCTGTTCGCGGGTTCCCTCTGGTGGCAACAGTGCGTAACTGCAGCCACTAGGAGCGGAGTGCTGCAGCGCCGCCTGGTGTGATGAGGAAAGGTGCAGAGGGCGAAGGATCAGGACCCAGTGAAGGTCCCAGGGCGAGGGTGCCGGGCACTCCTGGGTTCTTAATTGTAAGTGCGCTGGTTGGCGGAGATTGTACATGCATGTCTTAAAATCCAGTGTGCATGTGTCCAGGGACATGTATACTTGCATGTCCAGGTACTTGAGCCCTGTGTGTCTGTTCATTGAACACATGCTGTATATGCGCCGTCGTTTGCTCGAGAGTAGCTTGCTGGTGGGGAGGTCCGCGCCTCCAGTGCAGGGCGGAGTCCTCATGGAGGCGTGAAATTGGTTTGGAGCAAACACATTACGGAAAGCAATTACCAGGGAGAGGTTCTGGGCCCGCGGGACTAACGGCTAGGAGGCTGGGGAGGAAGCTCCCTGGCTTGCAAGAGTCTCCATGTCTAACCCCACTCTGGGGAGATCGCTGAAGTCAGGCAGTAGTTCCCTAGTATTGACGACTCCGCAAGTTCTCCTACCTCTCCCCCTTTAAAAAAGTATCCATGAGAATCCGACACCCTCCAGATAAAGAGTTGAACCCCCTCCTCACCACTTTGAGGAGAGGCAACCTTCTCTTTGAGGTCTTCCAGGATACCACTCTCTCCTCCTCAAGACTTTGTTTTTGTGTTTATTTCGTTGGTCCTGCGTTCTAACTATATATCTGTCCAGACATCTGTTTCTCAGACTAGATTAGAAATTCACTGAGGGCAGCAACGTGTATCATTGATAGGCATATGTCCAATGCCATATGTTCAGTACCTACAACCTGGGACTGGGAAGCACAGAATGAATGCGCTGAATGGGAGGAAATGGAAGTGTCATTAAGAGTCAGAAACAGGACTCTCTCAGGAAAGCTGTCCCCTTGCATTCAGAACTCTTAAAACACTGCTTTAAATATCTTGCACATGCCCATGAGCCCCACATTTCCATCCTCAAACTCCAGACTCACATATCCAAATGACCTTGAAACAAAACCTATTTGAGATGACCAGTCCAACCAACCAACCCATGCCCTCGAGTGGATTCCAACTCAAAGCAATCCTATAGGACAGAGCAGAACTACCTCATAGGGTTTCCAAGGCTATAAACCTTTATGGAAGTAGGCTGCCACATCTTTCTCTCAAAGTGGGTTCAAACAACTGACCTTTTAGTCAACAGTCAAGCACTTTAACCTCTGTCCCACAGAGCTCCTGAGGTGACTGATAGGAATCTCATATCCAAATTTAACATACCCTAAATGAAATGTTGGACACCCCCAGGCTTTCTCATCTTCCCCATCTTCATACTATCCCCACCCTCTGTTCAGTTGCTCAAGCCAAAAACTGAGGTCACCCTAGATTATTCTTTCTCTTAGCTCCCCACATCCACTCCATCAGTAAGTTCCATCAAGTCTCCAAAAAGATGCTAAAGCTCACCTACCATGACCTAATTTCTTGCCTTGACTATTGCAATAACTTCCTAATTGCTCTCTGATTCTGTATATCCATACCCCACCATCCAACCACTCAGCAGCCAAAGTATCTTTTTTGAACCTTTTTAAAAAATGATATAAAAATATATAAATAGAACTAACAGAAGACAACTATAGTTTCTTACCCACAGCCAGCCACTCTGAGGGAGCAAGTTGTTGGACCTATGGGTTTGGGACTATGGTCTTGGGGACATCAAGCTCAATTAGCATACTACACAAAAACATCGTTCTACATCATATTTTGTTGAGTAGTGACTGGGTTCTTAAAAGCTTGCAAGTGGAAGATGGCAGAATAGGCAGAAAAGCTCCACAGACCCTCTCCAACAAAGAAAAGAGAAACCAATTGACAGAGATACAGAAGATAATCCTGGATCCCTGAACTGTGAAAGGAAGTATACAGAATGGATTAGGTACCATCTAGTGGAAACCAACCCAGTTATGGAAGTATCCAAAGTAAATAAGCCTTCAAGATTGTAAATAGGGAACCAGAGATATCAGTTGACAAATGAGAACAACTACAAACCAAAAAGGGGAAAAATTGTGTAGTTACAGAACTTCTAAATGGTAGGGTAATCAAGAC